TTGGATTTCGAGACTTGCGACGTTCGACGTCGACAGTTGACCAGCCATGGGGATAGCCATAGCGTCCCGGCGGTGCACCAAATACTAGTCCGACCCAAACGACGGAACCAACAGAGGCGGTAGCTCTGCTTTCCGAAGCGTAAAACAGGACTCCGATCTGCGTATACCCTCTTACATTCATATTCCTGAAACTTGCCACCAGAGATCTCAGTTTCGACCTGGGACTCCACACCCACTTTCCTATAATCCTTGGCACACCCCCTTTTCGCACTTCCAAGCCTACTCCCACTCCGATCAGGAAGTCGCGCCAGGCGTGAGGTTGGGTGTCACATCGACTTTTGGATCATTTGGATGGAAAGGAACAAAGAACTCTTCCAGGGGAAGATCATATCGGACCCGAAAATCAAGGCTACATTCAAAACGATGGCACAAAGAGCTATCCTGACAGATTGGAAGCGGAAAGTTCCAAGAGGAAAAGGTCGAAGGGTGGGCTTGAAATGGTTTGCAGAAACTTGGGCGATCAATGGTAAATTAGCCATACTTGATGGCTTGGGGGGGCGGGGGGGTGTTGAAGGTCGCGGAGTGGTTGGTTGGTTAGTTCATTAGGTGGAACGTACCAGTGCACTCAGTTATGTTTCCGCAGTAGGAAGGCAGTGGTGAAGGTAACAGTGAATTTTTTGTCACTTGGAACCGCAATAGGCTCCAGTTGTCGTATAGAAGGCCCGAGAGAGTAGAATAGGCCAGATGAGTGTTTGAGGGATAGTAAGTAGGGGGGAAGAAGGTTAATTTAGTGTAGGTAGTTAGTACGGAGGTGCATAGAGGGTGTGGTACAAACTTGGTTACAAAGCTGTTCATATGTGTTGGTACGGCCTAAGCGCAAGGAGTTGTTGGGGCTTGTTTCCCCATGTACTGTGTTGGGCTAAAGCCCAGTACTTGTCTGTGCCATTCCGGGTTGTTTGTGAGGGATTCCCGGCCTCAATTATGAATTATAATGGAATTTCTCGCTTTCCCCCGCCCCCCCCCCCAAAAAAAAAAAAACTTCCTGGTTCAAAACAGGTACTATTTGGAAGCATAATCCAACTTAGCTTACAGGTTGAAAGCCAACAGGTCTTTCCTACAGTCTGAGACCCAGCAGCTCGCTGACTGTGTAGTTTTCTACTCTCTACAGTCTACCCTACCTAATTCCTACAGATGGTGCACTTACCTGTACAACTACAGTCTTCCCCCGAATACAATGTACAGTCATTATAGTTGAATTTGGGGGCTCGTTCGACACTCCTCGGGCCATCCTTGGGGCCCAAGGAAATTCTCCCATCGTCGCCCGAGGAAATCCGCGCCGTCGTTCCACTCATCCTCGGAATTGTTCCCCGAGGACGATTCCTCGGGGCCTTCCGCGGCCAGTTTCATATATTGACAAGCGGACGCGGGGGGGGGGGCGAGGTTGGTCCAGCAAGGTGTGTCCGTACCGACGTCATTGGTCCAGCTGGGGTGGGCGTCGTGCATTCGAAAGTTGGCGGCAAAAAAAAAAGAACGGCCACGAAAAAGGTGCGCAGTCCCGGATTCGAAATTCGAAATCCGAATTCCCGCAAGCGAGTGACGACGGCGTGGACATCCCTTGCGGCTGGCGGCAACAACGTTCCTCGGCGGAAGCGTTTGGGTACGGGGTGGCGGCTGCATGTCGACAGCCACGCCAAACGTACATGTACACGTCCGAAGTAGCAGACACGCCATCACACGATCGCCATGGTTGTCGTTCGCAGGTACACCTTCGTCGTCGATGTGTATGTCGTGCACTCCGGCCATCACGCGCAGCATTGTTGTTGTGCGCCCCAGCACACGTGGAGTCTTTTGTACTTGGCGACGCCCACGTCGACAGTACCAATTTCGGCGATGGACATGAACGGGGAGGCGGGTCGTGACACACTAAGCAAGGCGGAGAGGATGGTGGTGGCACCGGTCGTGAACGCCATCGTCTTTCGGTGTCAATTGCAGAGGAGCAAGGGGAGGATGAGAGCGCCCATTCGCGCACGACAGAAGAGGACGCTGCAGTCCATGAATGTGGACGTAGAGGACAATGGTGCCATTAGCGACGTCGTGCTGCAGGTGTGCTACGCCATGGGGTGTGGAGCATTTCCAGAGCGACGCCCAGGTGGTGGATGAAGCGGCGGAAAGGGGGGATGTGGGAGGATCTGCGGCAAGGCGGCGACGTGACAACGAACTACTTCAAGGACAAGCTGCGCATGTCGCCATGTGTGTTCCGAGAGATCGCGGAAGCTCTGTCTCCCTTCCTTCAATGGCGTGTCACTTTCTATAGGAGCCCCTCCAGCCTGACCACATTGTCGCGTACACTTTGTACAGGTAGGCATCGGGGGAGACGTACGAGAGCGGGACATGCAGCTTCGGCATTGGCAAATCTTCTGGGTTGTGCATTGTGCGGGATGTAACTGCGGTGTTGCTGAGTGCGTACCCCAACAAGATATCGTGGCAGACGGGCCTGTAGACGGTGGTCGTCTTGCGCGCTTTCGCTGACAAGGGTTTCCCTATTTGCCATGGGTGCATCGACTGCACCCACATCTTCATCGACAAGCCAGCGAATTGCCCTGGGGAGGACTACTATAATAGAAAACGTCGTTTCTCCGTCCAGGCGCAGGTTGTCATTTATCTGAACTTGCGTGTGCTGGATGTGTTCGTAGTCATTGAGAGGGCTTTCGGCAGACTGAAGGGGATGTGGAGGTTGTTCCTTCGCTCCCACAAGACGAACATAGAGACGTTGCCGCAACAGTTCGTCGTCGTCTGCATTCTGCACAACATACTCATCGACGCGGGGATCCCCTTTGACAACAATCTAATGTGGGAGGTCGGGTCGGACGGTGAGCGTCACAGGGTGGACCTTGGGATGTAGCGGCCCTTGAGGCCAACGTGTATGAAGTCGTCGACGAGGGATGCGCTTATTCTGTGGGACGCACTGGCGGAGCGAATGGGCGAGCAGTGAACACGGCCAGGTGTGCGGAGCGGGCGCGTGCGATGACGTGGCTGAGGCGAGAAATCGGACCACACGACATGTGGAGCAGGCGAGAAATAGGAGCTGACGACGCGGGAGGCGTAAAGCACCCGCTTCTGAAAGAATTTTCACTAATTGTGCTACGGTCGAACACTTCTGACCAATTGCTACATACACACAATACAACTTTTCTTTCTCAGAGGCACCTTTTGCATTGATCTGCTTCTGATTCAATATAGTATCAATAGCTATAGCAGTCTTACCTGTTTGTCTATCTCCAATAATAAGTTATCGTTGACCATAACCTATTGGAACAAGGCTATCCACCGCTTTTAATCCTGTTTGCATTGGTTCATGCACAGATTTACGTGAAAAAATTCTCGGAGCTTTGACTTCTACACGTCTTCGCTCTACAGCACCTAAAGCACCTTTTCCATCAATAGGTACTTGTCGTTGATGGGGTGGTCGTCTGCGTTGTCGTCGTTGTGTGTGTCGCCTCGTTTTGTGGAATTGGGGAGTTCATGGAGCGGTGGCTGTTTCGCTGTGGGTTGGCGTGCATGAGGCGGCGTATGTTGGCACTTTTGTTTGGTGATCTTTTGTACTGTGCGCCCGTGAGGACGGTATCGGCAGCTCAAGTTGTTGGCAATGGCGCAGTCTAACACGTCGTCGGTGGGGGCGACGTCATGCGCGTGCACGTGCCGATCGTAGTTGTCCTGTAATATGCTCTCATCGTGGGTGACATGTCTGGGTGTCGGAGTCGATTCCGGGGGTGTGTGTTCTGTTTTCCGGATTGGGAATGAAGTTGCCATGAAGGTCTTTTTTTCGCAAAGTGTGTCGTCTTCGGCTTTTACTACGAGTGACAACAATCTAACAATATTATGTCAATTATTTATGTTGCGTGGCTTGTCTTCTTATTTGACGACGAATAAAAAGAAAACAATTGCAGGACGTTGTGTGTGTCATTTCTACTGCCTTCTTTCCTTCTCACATTTGCAATGTCGTGTATGAACATCCCTCACTTTGTCATCATCCATCGGTTCAAGCAAGCATCCCTGACCCCTTTCCGTCCCCCTTACCATAACATTCATGAATGCAGATGAAAGCGGAATAAAAAAGAAGCGACAACAAGTTGTAGACATCATCAATATCAATCAACACAATTAGATGTTCGTTTTAACAGATGTGAACGTTGATTTGCCATGTTCCAAAAAACAAAAATAAAGAAAACGAAAGGTTCATGAAACACCCCTACGACAACCGATCCGCCACAGTGATGATCACCATCACGGGAACGTCCACTCCCATGACCGATCACCAAAC